TAGATCAGTAATTTGCAAATTATTTAAGCCATTTTAGTCTTAATTATATGAATTGAAAGAAGAAAAGTTAGGATACTGTACCTTATCTAACTTTACTTCTCTAATGTTATATGTTAGAGGAGCCAGTTCCCTTGGGCCATCGCATTCATGGCTCTCCAGCCCCACACATGTCAATCATTTAGAGCTAGGATGGTTTACTGTTGGATGAGCACCAGTGCTGTGCTGGTAGAAACAGTGACAGAGGTGAGGGTCAGGGGAGCAAATGCATCAAATGCGGCTCACCTAACTAAATTCTGGCGAGGTACAGCCAGAGTGAGTGAAACATGTATCCACGGACAGCCAGGCATGGGAAGTGACATATCTCCGGGCCAATTATCATTTTCTTAGGCAATCCAGGCAATCATCTTTTTTTTTGTGAGGTAATCCGGGCCAATCATCTGTCACGGGTGGACTGGGACTGGGATTCTCAAGTGGGCGCGACAACAACTAGGCCCACATGTCGGCCATACAGTACTAGTACGACTTAGGATCTGCGTCCATCACGGGTCCATGCCCTTCCAAAATTTGTCTGGCAATGCTCGCCTTTAGTTCACACTCCACGCGGCGACTTCACTGGAATCCAGTCGACCAGTCACCAATTATTTTGCGGTACTAGTAGTAGCAGTAGAAATGCAGCGGGTGCCTCGAGCGCAGCGTTTCGATGCCCCGGCTGATCCGTACCGGTCACAAAAAGTCATTAAAAATTTAAAAATATCTTTTTCATGGTAGAAACTTTATTGCGTGAGGTCTACTTTAATTTTTATATCATTTAAACATCTGCGTAGCTCTTAGCAAAAAAAGACAAACGAGTCAAAATAGTGGATGAAAAATAAACTTTTTTACATACCTCGAATTTGCTTTTTTTGCCGAGAGTTGCTCCGATGTCCAAATAATTTAAAAAATAGAGCGGACCTCATGCATTAAAATTATCTACCGTGCAAAAAAATGATTTTTTTTATTTTTTTTTAGTATTTGCTTTAATTTTTTGCTTCAACGCAGGGTGCAGATGAGCCTAGGCTCAAAAGTGGATTGTCGCGGTGCCTATCAGTTTTGATGTGATTACTCGTGTTCTCTTCCTCTTCCTTGTTCTTGCTGAAAATTTTGAAAACCCGATGCAGAACTCTCCTTCCCAAAGCAAATTACATGGACTTCACTACAAATCAGACGTCATAGCTTTTAGCATGTGAAATCAAATGTTTTATGACAATTTACGTTGTCATGAGGATGACAGTATGTAACACTATGCTTCCTAATTTAATAGAGTCCATATTCAATTGAGGTCTTCAATTGGAATTGGGCACCTGATTTTAACTAGGTCGATAATTTTTCAAAACTCTCTCATTCAATTCTTTTGTACTAGACACTATGCTTCTTAATTTTTAAAGCCTCGTAATTAATTAAGGTCTTGAATTTAAAATTAGGTCACCCGATTTTGACCGGATCAACAATTTTTCAAGGAGCTCCCCCATTCAATTCTTGCAGTTCATTAGGTTTCCTAATTTTGAAGTTTTTTCATTCAATTGAGATATTCAATTTTGGATATGGTTTAAGATTTTGATCGGGTCAACAGTTTTTCAAATCAATTAACAGCAACAGGCCTGTAAAAACAGATCAATCTCACGCACCCTTCCACCACCTAGAAAAAAAAAGCACCATCATGTCATATTATAACACCAATATAGTACATACGGCCACCTACGTAGAATTTTTTACACATAAATATACTTTGGTTAGCTGATAACACAGAACCACACCATGAAAAGCCAATCCAAACATTGGATTATCGTGGTGCCTATCAGTTTTGATGTGATTACTCGTGTTCTTTTCCTCTTCCTTGTTCTTGCTCGAAATTTTGAAAACCTGACGCAGAACTCTCACTCCCAAAGCAAATTACATGGACTTCACTACAAATCAAGCGTCATAGTTTTTAGCATGTGAAATCAAATGTTTTATGAAAAATTACGTTGTCAAGAGGATGGCAGTCCTCTGTAACACTGTTCTTCCTAATTTTAAAGAGTCCACATTCAATTGAGGTCTTCAATTGAAATTGGGCACTTGATTTCAACTGGGTCAATAATTTCTCAAAACTCTCTCATTCAATTCTTTTGTACTATACACTATGCTTCTTAATTTTGAAGGCCTCATAATTAATTAAGGTCTTTAATTTAAAATTGGGTCACCTGATTTTTATCGGATCAATAATTTCTCAACGAGCTCTCCCATTCAATTCTTGTAGTTCATTAGGTTTCCTAATTTTGAAGCTTATTTATTCAATTGAGATATTCAATTTTGGATTTGGTTTAAGATTTTTGATCGGGTCAACGGTTTTTCAAATGAATTAGCAGCAACCGGCCTATAAAAGCACATCAATCCCGCGCACCCTTCCACCACCAAGAAAAAAAGAAGCGCCGTCATGTCATATTATAACACCAATTTATTACATGCGGCCATCGAATGCGGCCATCGACGCAGAAATTTTTCCCACATAAATATACTTTGGTTAGTGGATAACACAGAACCACACCATGAAAAGCCAATCAAATCACCGTGTTTTATAAATAAAAAACACACTCCATCATCTTCCCCACCCATCAAACTAAATATTCCATCAGTTTCGAAAATATAAGGCTACTAGTTTTTTGGAAACTCAATTTTTTTTAACTTTGACCAAGTTCAGAGCAAAAAATATCGACATCCACAGTATTAAACAAAAAATGTAAAAAAAAATTGATGACGAATCTAATCACATTGATTTGATATTATGCATTTTCATATTTTTTATCAATTTGATCAAACTTAAAAGGTTTGACCTTTCAAAAAAGTAATACACCTTATATTTGAAATAGAGTGAGCAATTTTTTTAAGGAACCAAACAAAATCAATGGTACAGCAAAGCACCCCCCCCCCCTCCCCAAACATTTTCTAGTTTTTTAACATTGCCGAATTACTTTGACCTCCGTGCTCCATATTTTTTGTAAATTCCGGAATTGCTTCAAGCTCCCGGGTCTATGGAATTTGAATTTCAGAAATTAGACTTTGAAGTTTAGAAAAACTAAAAGAAAAGAACATCTAAATATGTATATTGGGACATGAAATTTATGCTCACAAGCTCAAATGCACTTTCATGAGTAGTAAAACCATCAAAATAGTAAATAAATTTTAAAAATAGCAATAAACATTGTTAAGTGTTCTACAATACATACTTGCAAAATCCCATAAAGAAAGAACATGCCTAATGCTCTTGGGCAAAACGATGCTCCAAAATGACAATTTTTTAAAGCATTTTAGATACTTGATTTTGTTAGTTTTGTCTAGACCTACACGGATGTGATTTCATCATAAAAATTTGCGCAAGCAGAAAACTGGCCATTGTTTGTTATAAAAAGAATCACATTTTTTTAATTTGCGTACTTATTTTTCATTTAATGTTCATAAGGGTGCATTTGAGTTAGGGATTAGAAGGGAGAAAATTCCTTAAATGACACTGTTTTAAATGTTGTTTCCCTATTTGACACCGAAAAACTTTTTCTTCCCCATCCTACACTGTGTCTAAAATTTATGCCTTTTACGACACTTTTATCCATTTGGAGCCTTAACGATGTTAAATGACATCTGAAAAGACCTATTTACCCCTTATGTGATATGTGATTAAAATTGTTATGTGGTAGTTTAGCTTCATTATACGACTCTGTCTGGATGTAGTTTAGCTTCAGTACTTCCGTATAAAGACGTCGGCGCAGCATAATAAATTGCACGCGAGGACATGATGCGGACATGTTAGAGGGCACAGATCTCATGCAGCTCGCGGCGTGGGGCCAGCAAAATTGTAGCAGGCAAGGTGCGTGGTTCAGCTGTGCGGAGGCATACGGCGGCTGAGGGCAGCGCGTTTGGCAACGGCAGGGCGCACGGGGTTAGCAGGGTGGCCGGTGTACATCAATACTAGTACATGGCACAGTACATACTCGATCGATAGTATACACAAGTCAGTACGATTAATATTGTAGTCAGTGCTTGTACTTTTATGTGTGAAAAACCCAGTTCCTGTACACGATCGATAGTAGTATACAACAAGTCAGTAAGTTAATAGAGTTGAGATTGAACGAAAGAAAATAAACAGGACCGACAAGATCATGTGCCCATCACCCGCCTCGTGTGTTCGTGTTGTGGCCATCAGCCAGCCAGCGGGAGATCGGCTGCTTAGCTAGCTTCGTCTACGTAGTACGTATAGCTTGGAAAATACTCTGAGCTAGCCTCGTACGTGTGTACGCCGGAAACCACTTGGCTACAACGCCATCAAGGTTGGGACCAAGGCTCAAAACGAGTGGTAAATAGGTCTTTTCATGTGTCTTTTAACACTATTAAGGCTTAAAATGGATGATAGTGTCATAAAGAGCATAAAATTTAAACTCCGTGTTAAATAAGAAAGACATTTTTTCTCAATGTCAAATAAGGCAACAAATTTTAAGACGATGTTAAATAAGGAATTCTCTCATTAGAAGGACACTTTTACGTATAATGCATATTTGTAAAGTTTCCAGTGAAATATGTTCCATGTGAGTTGTTGTTTTTTATGTAGATTACACCAAAATGTATTTCATCATGAAATTTGACGAATATGTATCAATACTTACATATATATGTGCATTTTTTTAGATTTTTCTCAAACTTGTAAAGTTAGTTTTTTCAAAAAATTGGTTTCCTGGAGCCAAGTGTCAAAAATCATTACTCTAAATAGTTTGACTACTTTAGTGCTTATTTTGCACCATAGTGATATTACACCCACTCTGTACTCAAACCAATTCAAAATGAGAAAGGGAAAAATAGAAAAAGAATAGTTTTTCTTTCTCCTCTTGTTCTCGTTGATCTTCCAATTTCCCCCCTCCTCCCATCTTATACCCAAGCCCTTTGGCTTTCACTATATTTGAATGTTTGCACATAAGCCCCTAAAAAAGCTTCTATCCTCAGCTCTTCTTCCACTCCTCGGCGCCGGCGAGGTAGGCCTTCTTCCTCTTCTCCGCTCGCGCGCACGCGCAGATGATGACGAAGCAGGCGGCGTAGACGGCGTACACGCGCCAGTTCGCGCGCGGGGCCTCGCCGGCGGCCGCGCGGTGGAACACCGCGGCGTAGTAGTGGAGGCCGACGGCGAGCCCCACCACCATCTGCGCCAGGCCGAGCGCCTTGGTGGCGTCCGCGCCGCCCTCCTCCTCCTCCGGCGAGGCGGCCCCGGAGAAGACGGCGACGAGGTCCACCATCTGGAGCACGAGGTAGCCCATGAAGCCGAGCGACTGCGCGGCCTGCGTCCAGGCGTAGGCCGCGGGCGAGGCGGCGTGGAAGAAGCGGAGCGGCTCCAGCCCCGTGGCGGCGGCGGCGAGCGCGAGCGTGCCGAAGTAGATGGCGAGGTAGGCCTGCGAGAGCAGCAGCGCGCGGTGGAGGAGCGGCAGGTACGGGCCCATGCGCCGCACCAGCGCGGTGAGCATGCAGAGGGGCAGCAGCAGCAGGGCCACCGACGCCGCGGAGGCCGCCGCCACCCCCCACCGCCCCCCCAGGACCGGCCGCACGCCGCCGGCGATCCCCGCATTGGCGGCCGACAGGTACGCCTTGGACGTGTACGACAGCCGCGCCAGGTCCGGCATGAGCGTCTGATGCAGCCGCGCCGGGAGGCCCCGGAACTCGGACATGAGGTCCTCCGTCCCCTCCGCCTCCTCCGCGAAGACCACGTCCTCCTCCACCCCCGCCGCCTCCTCGCTGCTCACGGTCGAATTCGCCTTCACCTTCCCGTCGGCGACGACGGCCTTCGCTTTCTTGCTCGACTTGGCCGAATCCGCCGTCGAATTGGACGGCTTCTTGGCCTTGGGAGCGCCCCCCTCAGATTTCACCGGCTTGGCAGCGCCCGCCTTGGAGGACTTGGCGGAATCGGCGCTCTTGGGCTTGGCGGTGGCCGCCGCCTTGTCCAGCTTCGGGACCTTGGGCTTGGCCGCATCGCCGGCCGCTTTAGTGGCCGGCTTCTTGGTCGTGGCCGCATCGCCGCCCGCTTTAGCGGTCGGCTTCTTGGTCGTGGTCGACTCCGCTTTAGCGGTCGCCTTCTTGGTGGTGACCTTGGTCGTCGTCGAGGTGGACTCCTCCGGTTTCGTGCCTTTCAGAACCTTGGTCTGATTCTTGGCGCCAGAGGAGACCTTCTTCTTGACGCCGGCAGCAGCGGTGGTCTTGGGCGGCTTGACCGGCTCGTCGTCATCGGTGGAGACGAGCTCCTTGCGGCCGCCGGAGAGCTTGGGCTTGGGCTTGGCGGCCGGCGGAGCGGAGGAGCAGAGCGCAATGTGGCAGCAGAGGAGGGCGAGGAGCAGGAGCAGCAGCACCGGCCTCGGCGGCGACCGAGCTGCCATCTCTGGCGGATCTGGCCGGGGCTTTTGCGGAGCGAGATCCGGGAAGAGTGAGGGAGGGTGAAGGTATTTTTGGCTCGATTTATACGTGGGGAAATTGGAGGCGAAAAGGGACGAAGAGAGGAGGAAGCTGTGAGTGTGAGCCGTGGTGAAGAGTGCGAGTGAGTGGGGAGCGAACCACACCACCACTGCTGGAGTGCTGGGTGTGTGAGTGGAGTGGGGAGTGAGCGAACTACGACGGCGTGTGGCACGGCCGGTACCGGGGCACGCACACGACCACGTCCACGTTGGTGCGGCTCCTCCGAACCGTCGGTGGACTTTCACCAGCTCGTTGCGCGCGAATGCCCGTCCCGGTCCAGACAGCACGACAAACCGACGAGCGGATGAGAGGTTTGTTAGGTCCCCGTCCTGGTCCATGCACACAAGAGGCATCTTCCTATTTCAAGAGCTGGTCTCTTCTCTTTGATCATCTAGACTGGCTCTTTATGGATTGGATGTCCATTCTCATCGTTTTGATCATACTCACCGTGTTGAAAAAGGATTTTCTGTCCACTATGTTTGCATTTCCATTTTTTCGTGTAAACACCGACTAAAATGCAGTTCATGTCCGTGACTGCGACATGACTTGAACTTTGTTTGTTTGTTGTTTGCGACCGGTGGCAATCAATTCTTTTGATTCTCACCACCCCACGATCCCTCAGCTAGACCGTAGCAAAGAACAAATGTGCCTAACAAAACGAGAACGGTTGTTGACATAAGTCGGCGCTACATATTAGTTCACGCATCTCAAATTAAGATGTTGGGCGGTGGATCGTAAAATGTTAGGTGAATTGTGCCAAGAGAGCCTCTAGCAGAGACGCCATATCCACAATCGCTATATTGCATATGAAGCATGCTTTTGGAGGTTAAACATGCGAAGTGCAAATTCAAAGTCGTCGTTTTTGTTTTTGTTTTGTTTTTGTTTCTTTTTCATTTGATCAAAGAAACGGATTGAGATCCACCGTCAAGTGATAACGGAACACAACAGAAAAGTAAAGATATGACTTTTAAGCGCAACCAACTCCAGTCGGCTGCCGCGTGCCCCGCTAGCAACCAAAGGGTGAAAATAAACGCAGGTTTAGTTACATCCCAAACGGACGACAAATTGAGCTTATGGCTCACGTGTACAATGGCATCAAAAACCCAACTCCAATCATCCCAATGGTGCGAGATGAATGAGGTTGCCTCAAGGAATGCAAAAGGTATCGAGTCCATGAACCAATGGTATTGATATGAAGGGAATTTTTAGTGTATTGAGTGGGAGAGAGCCATGGGAGGAGGCTGGTCTCAGATGGAATGAGGAGGAAGAGAGGTGGGGGTAATTGGTTCGGGAGAGCCCCAATAACGACATTTGGAGGGGCCCAACTCACTTACATGTTCAGTGTGCAACGTACGGTTATCCAGCTAGACGATCACTTTTTTTAAAAAAAATGTCTTCAACCTCCTTCTTCCATAGCATCATCATCATCGTCGTCGTCGTCGTCATTTCCTTCATCTTTGTTCTCCCCGTCCTTTCTAGCTTCTTGCATACACACATCCATCCTGCCTTCAGCATTGCCTTCATCATGCAGATTTAGGGTTGCGGCTCCATGCTCCAGACCAGATCGCTCCTCTTCATTCTATAAACCTGCCCAGTACTGCATAAAAGAGCATGCATATCATATAAACTCAATAGGAGATCAACTCAATTTTTTCTTGAAACAAGCACAATTTCTTAATTTCCAGATTACCCAGCATACCACGACAAGATCCACAATTTGCAAGTTTCTACTATTGGGTATACTGCTGGGGAACACAGTAATTTCAAAATATTTTCTACGCACACGCAAAATCTATCATGGTGATGCATAGCTACGAGAGGGAAGAGTGTTGTCCACGTACCCACGTAGACCGTAAGCGGAAGTGTTATGACAATGCGGTTAATGTAGTCGTACGTCTTCACGATCCAACCGATCCTAGTACCGAAAGTACGGCACCTCCGCGATCTGCACACGTTCAGCTCGGTGACGTCCCACGAACTCTTGATCCAGCTGAGTGTCGCGAGAGCTTCGTCAGCACAACGGCGTGATGACGATGATGATGAAGCTACCGGCGCACGGCTTCGCCTAAGACTACGACGATATGACCGAAGTGGATTATGGTGGAGGGGGGCACCGCACACGGCTAAGGGGTAAATGATCAACTTGTGTGTCTATGGGGTGGCCCCCTGCCCCCGTATATAAAGGAGCAAGGGGGGAGGCCGGCCGGCCCTTGGGGCACGCCAGGAGAGGAGGAGTCCTCCTCCTAGTAGGAGTAGGACTCCCCTTTTCCTAGTCCTACTAGGAGGGGGAAAGGAAGGAGGAGTGGGAGAAGGAAAGGGGGGCGCCCCCCTTCCCTAGTCCAATTCGGACCAGAGGGGGAGGGGGCGCGCGGCCTACCCTGGCTGGCCCTCTCTCTCCACTAAGG